CCTGGCAGGCAGGCAGGCGCCCGCCGAGGAGCTGCGCGCGAGCTGCTGGCTCTGCCCGCTGCTTCTGTGCGTTTTGGTAGCAAGGCCCCACTCCCCAAGGAAGGGGTGCGCCTAGACATGTGAGAGAGTGACGCCCTTGGTGAGGATTATAGTCACAATAATGACACATTCGCCAGCTCTGTAAGAGGTGTGCTTCCCACCCGGGCTCCCATGAGGTGAGCACCGGATGCCAGGAGGAAGGATGTTTGCTTTGTGACAAGGGCACTGCCCTCTTTTCTGGGGAGACCGGGACAATTTTTAGGCAGGGTGTAAGTGACTTTACAGCAGGCCCCAAATCTATTAATACAATTATGAATGCTACATTATTGAGGTTCAGTTTGTGTAAGAGGAAGGGTTTGAAACGGACTGGCTCTGTCGTGCTGTTGGCTGACTGATGGCTGCTTAGCGAGGCATGAAATGAGTCATTTGCGGTGGCCTCCTCAGTAGCAGGTGTCGTGCCACAGAGTCACGTGTGCAGGTGTCCTACATGTATAGTGCTCCTTACCTCTGGACGTGTAACAGGCATAGACTGAATCCAGGCAGTGGACTCTTAAGCTGTTGTGTGGTCGTGACTCCTGCTCCTGGGCTGCTCCCATTTTGGATGAAGACTTGTCCCATTAGAAGTGTCTACAAATCAAATTTGCATCCCAATTCAACCTTAGATTTGATAACAGCAGCATAACTCTCAGGATTGTGAGGTGGTATCTCTGCTGATATAACGGTGGGAGTTTGAGCCCTGCTCCAAGCTCACAGAAAAAACTAGCCTCAGTTGACCAAGCTGTAAGTGAGCATCAGGCTGGGAAGGCAAAGGCAGATGATTGTGGTATGTAGGCTCTGGAAGACCTTTGATCTTGATTGCAGATTTCACAGTTACAAATCTGGGTCTGCTCAGAAATTAAACTCACTTCCCAGGTCCTGTGTCCAAACGTGGATTTCAACACTGACAAGTGCAAGATGCTGCACCTGGGGGGGAAGAACCAGCAGCATACCTACAAGCTGGGGAACTCCCTTCTCATCAGTGCAGAGGCAGAAAAGGATCTTGGTGTCATTATTGATGCCAAAATGAACGTGGGCCGACAGTGTGGGTACGCG